GCTCAGGCTGGTTTCGAACTCCTGAGCTCAAACAATCCGCCCGCCTTGGCCTCCCAGAGTGCTAGGATTACAGGCGTGAGCCACCGCGCCCGGCCTGTTGAGCTTCTTTATAATCCATATTTGGAATTCTTTGTCTGTCATTTCAGTATTTTCATTTTGGTTAGTATCCATTGCTAGAGGGCTGGTGTTCCCTTTCAGGGGGAGACCTTTCATTCTGATTTTTCATACCTCCAGAGTTCTTACCCCGATTCCTTCTCATCTGGAGCAGTTGTTGCTTCCTAATTTTGGCTTTTCTTTTGTTTAGATGGGGCTTTTTTCCCCCATTCACTCATACAGGGGTGTTTGTAGCATATGTTGTGTAAGAACCTTTGGCTTGATTTGTGAGTGCTTTGGCAATTTAGGTTCCTGATAGATGCCTTAGTAATGGATATCCTTAGTGTGATGCTTTTCTGAGTTGCTGGTTGTGTGTATGCTATAGCAATGACGAGCTATGTGTGTGGGCAGATACCCTGTTGCTCTTTGATGAGAGAGGATGGAGGCCTTTGAAATCCTTTCTCTATCCCCAGCCCTATGGTCTTCTTAGCAGTGTGAATTGTAATGGCACACCCAGTTTAATCACTAAGATGGTAGGTGGCTCTTGTGAATGAGAAACAACCTCGCTTTGTATGATTAAGTCAGTAAATGTTGAAAAGGACTATGCAAATTGACCTCCCTATCAGTAGGTGGTGTTTGCCAGAAGGAACAGGCTGCCATGTTGGTTTTGTGCCTTACTCTAGTCTCTCAGGAGAAGCACTCTAATGCCCCAAGTGGTGAGTGGGGCCCTGGAACTTCCAGGTATGTCCTTATTCTCTGCCTCAGGAGGGGCAGGTAGAGGAGTGAGGCTGGGTTGGGTGGGCTTGCCCTCAGGCTGTGCAAAAGCTGGTGAAGTTGCTGTTTCAGCAGGGTTCAAAGGTCTGTTCCCAGCTTCTGAGGAAAGCCACCTGGGAAGGGCTAAAGTGGCCCCATCCAATCAGAAAGTCTGCTTGTGGAGACCAACCCGTCTGAGATTCACAATCTGACTGTCCAGTTCTTATATCTCGCCCTGGCCTGTGTGTCTGTCCTGCTAGCATGTCTCCCCAAAATGCCAGCCAGCAGGGAACTTCCAAATTGGGCACCCCAGGTCCACTGCAAGTCCACAGAGAAAGAGGCATGGGCCCCACTCTCTGTGGATGCCTCAGCCTGGAGTACGCACCCGCTGGAGAGAGGGAACTGCTCCCCTACTTCTTAACAGAAACTGCTTTCCTGGCTAAAATGGGTGGGGAAGGGGCCACCACTCCGGGTCAGCCCCAGGGCATGAATGAACTGCACCAGGTTGCTATGGCACCCAGCGCTGTGTACTTCTTCACCCTAGAATCTGCCCTAATCAAACAGGGTGGTTTTCCTGTGGGGTGGTGGGAGGATGGGTGCTCTCCCACCTGGCCACATCTCGGAACCCCACAGTATTCTGTCAGATCTGCCCACATGGGCTTCCTCACCATCTGAGTCCAACTCACAGACCTCCCTGTTGTGTCTCCAGCAATCCACTGGAGTCAGAAGGACACAGGGTCTGTCTGGCCTACTTGTCTGACCTGCTGGCGTGTGACTCCACGAAACGCTTTCAGGCAGGGAGTTCCTGAGTCTGGCACCCCGGATCCACTGCAGGCCCCTGTAGGGAAAGCCATGGGTCCCACTTTCTGTGGAAGTCAGCCTGTAACATACTCCTGCTGGGCGGGTGGCCACTCACCAAAATCTCGGCCCAAACTGCATTCCCTGTTCCAGTGGGTGGGGGAGGGGCAGGGGAGGAAGAATCTGAATGTAAGAAAGCCAGCTCTCTGGCCTCTCGTGACACCCTGGCACAGAGTGTCTGAGCCCTGTGATCCCGCAAGTTCTCCCTGCTATACTGTGTTTTCCACTGTGTCTGAGCTTGTCGGGGTAGAAAAGCCTCTGAGAAACTCATTAGCACTGGCCACCGAATGCCTATGGAAACGTGAGAGGGATCCCCTGTACCTTTTCAGTGGACTCAGAGTTTCTCTGGGTTTGATCCTCTCCAATATCCTTTTTCCGTTATCTTTTACCTTCTCTGCTTCTCAGTTTTCTTCCCTGAGATCCATGGCAAGCTCTAGCACCTCTCTCTATAATCCACACCCACCCTGTGTCTCTTCTTCTCTATCCTTTGTCAGAATTCCTATCTTCCCTCCAGAATGGTCTGACAAGCAATGTCTCTAGTCAGCCATCTTGTCTCCTGAAGTTGTGCCAACTTTATTAGTTGCTGTACTGACTTTTTTAATGTACAACTCTGAAGCTCAGTTATACATCTTTTTTTTTTTTTTTTTGAGACTCCTTTTTTTTTTTTTTTTTGAGACGGAGTCTCACTGTGTTGCCCCGGCTGGAGTGCCATGGCGTCATCCTGGCTCACAGCAACCTCAAACTCCTGGGCTCAAGCGATCCTCCTGCCTCAGCCTCCCGAGTAGCTGGGACTACAGGCATGCGCCACCATGCCCGGCTAATTTTTTCTATATATGTTTAGTTGTCTGATTAATTTCTTTCTATTTTTAGTAGAGACAGGATCTCACTCTTGCTCAGGCTGGTCTCGAACTCCTGAGCTCAAACAATCCGCCCGCCTCGGCCTCCTAGAGTGCTAGGATTACAGGCATCAGCCACTGCTTCCGGCCTCAGTTATACATCTTTATTATCACTCAGATCTAATTATCTCAAAACATAAGACTTTCATATTTCTATACTTTCTTTTTCTGTTGTTTATGACTAATAATTCTCTTTATTAATGTATCTACAAGAAATTAGTCTGTATTTGGATATGAACAGGTAGGTAGAATAAATGAGCTTCCACAGATAGTTCTGATATACAAAATATAATAGCTTATAAATGCTGGGATTGTCAGGTTTTAGTCTGAAATGTCGGTTCTTGGTACACTTGTGGCCGAAGAATGACCAGACACGCCAAAGTTAGGCAAGCACGAAAATGAGGTTTATTGAGGAGACAAAGATGGGATTATAGGGCCAAGAGCAAGATACAGGTTTACAGAGCATGATACATATGCCACAGATGATGACCAGACCCATTGTCGCAGCAGGGTGAACAAAAGGAAGGACAAAGAGAGGGACTGGTTATGGTCTGCATCTTGTTTTATGGTTCCTGAATAGGGACTTTCCTCGTAGTTCAGAGTCACCATGGTACCACTTTGATTGGACAGTTGGGGAGCTGCATGACCTGAGTCTTACTGTGCATGTGGCTTCTAGGTCACTTTCCGGACTTTATGGTACCTATGCTGCTTGGCCCGTGGGCTAGAGAGTCCTCTGCATTCTTCTGCAGCTGGTGCACCAAGTTCTGATTGGCAGATTCATAGGGTATTCCTTCCACCCCCAGGTATGGAGAATTAGCGTTGAGCAGGACCAAGATGGGGGCAACAGCACCCACTTTCATCCCTAGGAGACCCGGAATCCCTCACTGTCTGTCTAACAGGATTACATGAATTTAAAGTTTTAGTAGAAGAAAGTAAACTAAATACTATGTAATGCCATCAATCTATTGATGGATTTTTAGATGTTCAACTTTGAAATTTTACATTGTGTTCTTTAAAAATCTAATACTTCCAGAGTCTGATAATGCTTAAAGTTTAAAATAAATA